GGTTTTTCTCCATTGCAAGAACTTATGTCACTATAGAAGAAAAATTTACCGTGTTTTTATGGAATATCTTCGTTCCAAGATGAGGTAAGTGAAATGTGGTAGAAAAATTCTTTTGCTACAAACTTTATCACAACAAGTAAAATACTGATTCTATATCAATTCAAAAAGAATGCCTTATGAATTAATTAGAGAAAAAATTTGCTTTTACTAATTTGGCAGTAGGAAGTAACATATACTTATTTGAACAGAAATTTGAATTTCTTTTTGAGAGAAAACAGTCAAATAGTTTCTAGACTTCAATAAAGGTTTCCTGATTTGTTGGTAAAATCGTTATCGATTTTTCTCTGTTTATACTTTTTTGATCGCGTATCCCAGAATTCTTGAAAGAGCATGTCAAGATGCAGGACATGACAAAATCTTCTTCTTTTTTAATTAAGCATTGCTAATATTGTATTAGGGTGTAGGTGTGGATCTCTTCATTAACACCCACACCCTCCAATAATAAAATGTAAAAATGTAATAGTAAGTTTATTATCTTAATTACCTTTGCGGTTGCTTCTTGTTCTTTTTTATTTTTTTCAAGCATTGCTTCTAGTGAGAATGGTACACGTTTTGAGGAATTTGTTTCATAAAGTTTACTATAATTTGTCATTGTTGTTGTCGTTTTATTAACTGTTGAATTTCGTTCTAAAATATCATTATTATCATTTTGTTTTTTTACTTTATAAGTTTCATCAATTTTTTTATGTTTTGAACTAAAATAAATATTAAAAAAAAATTAACAATTACAATCAATCAATCAAATAACATACTCAGGTGATTGTGATCGTTTAGATGATGAATGTCGATGTTTTGTTTCATGTTCATCATGATGTGATCGATGATAACGATGTTCTCTAGAAAAATTAAAATAGATAATCATTTTAAAAACAAAGATCCAAGAAGTGTACCTTTCTTTGCTTGTACTTCTATGTCGTTTTTTTAAATCACGAGACAGTGATATACTTTCGGACATTATTTATCTGAAATGCAAAACAAATATATATAATTATATATATGCATATAAATCTAAATTGAATAGTATGCAATATGAAAAATATGAAGTAATTTCGTTCTAGTGGTTTCAAGTCCTTCAATAACTCCTTAGTCACATATCACATTATCTCTGAGACGTATTTTGTTAAAAAGTTGAACAATTGAAAATAGTTTTAATTCTGTAAACATATAATCAACTTCATCATCGTTTAATTCATGATATTGACCATATAAAACAGGTATATAATGTTTTCTTTAAAAATATTTTCCAAGATTTTATTTAATAACATAATATGATGAAAATAATTGATCAATTCCTAAATAATTATCATTTCGATTTGTCGAATTTGTAAAATAAAACTCCATCTAGGAATAAATCCAGATAAAAAAAAACACAGAATCAGCTTTTTCTTATTGGATCAGTATCTAAAAACAAAAGAAAAGAATATTTAGATATTAACATCTTTGTTTGTTTTTCTACCAACACATTTCTGACTAAAATGATTCGATGCAACAGTATTCATTTTTGAAATAATAATTATTTAACCAAGATAAAGATCATAAATATTTTTAAGTTCATCCGGTATAGAAAAATAAGGTTATTAATATCATATTTAATTGTTTATATTAATATTCGTCAAGTAATACTTCAAGACCAGTAAGAATTGACGAACCAATTGTTATTATTGAATAAGCAACACGAAGATGAAGTCAATAAACATTCAATAGTAATTTGGCATATATAATATGATATTGATTAATTAAGATTTTACCATTCTTATTAATATGCACTATGAAAAAAAAACATAACATGATTGAAATATTTCGCTAGAAAGTTGTGAAAAGACGAGCATATCAAATATTACGAAATCTAATAAAAAAAATAAGAAATTTAAATGCTATTCAATAGAAGTTAGAAGTAAGAATCATAAAAAATTACAACGACGTATTTCGCAATAAAGCTACAACTGACAGGTTTGGTTAAAACATTCAACCAATTGGAAGATGGATAAACATGCAATACGAATGGATCTTTTAACGTCAATTATGATTTATTTTTTTAAAGTTATTGCACATGACACTGGTGGAAGAGGCATTCGACTGTCAAGAGTAAAAATTTCATTTATTCGACGAGACGATAGACGAATGAAAAGTAATATGAGTCATCCTTACAAATGCTGTAATGCTCAATAGTATTAAATCATTAGATAATTTTCAAAAGAAAATGTAACAATATTACGGACAAATTGTCGTTAGTTCTAGTTTAGTTAAAACACAGGACCGATATAATCTGCACACATTACACTACGTGAGGGTGAGGGCGCTGTGTTTTAAGTAAAATAGTACTTGAATGTGTGCTGAAAATATAAAATGAATCAATACTTTCACCATCGAGCAAGAGCACAGGCTTTTTTTTAATAATCAGTCAGTATGTCATCAGATTACCAGCGCATATAATACTTAGAGAAGACACTCTTGAAACCTTCTGATAGAGAAAAAAGAAAAAAATGCCTGACGAATTCTATTAGTTGTTTATACCCCTGTACTTTTGATATTCACATAGTCGTACCACATCATATAGAAAAGGACATGCAAAATAAATTAAAGACAAAATGTTATGATAAGGGATCACCAAAAAAATTCAAGGACAAGAAAGTATACCATCCATCTCCATCAGTGCCTGCTTTACTTAAATAAGATGACACAAACGGTGCAATAAATTCGCCTTCAATAGCCGTCTTTTGCAGTATACAAAGAAAAATATTATCCTTTTAATATTTTACATAATTTTTTCCATTATAATTGATGATATTGTTTTGCCAGTTTTCAAGAACATGCATGAAACTTGTTCGAGGTATTAATCTTCAATAGGAAATCAGGAAGTGTCCGCATTCATAAAATAAATCTTCTATCTATATGATAACTAGGCAACGTCATGAGAAAGAAGCCCAGAATTTATTATCAAGAAGACGGTGCCATTCATATAAGAAAGATTATTTCGTTTTACAATAGACACATAGTAGATCTAGTTCAACGAAACACAAAATCTATTGGTCACGATTTGAATCAGAGATTTTTTATTGAGACATACCTTCGACAAAAAATTTCAACTAGGTATGGCTTATTCCTTCTATTAATTTTCCTCATACTCAATACGCCCGCCTACTATTTGTTTGGATGCTGTGTAGATTTTCTTTATTTCTCTTAGTTCACAGAAAGTGATAGAGAGAAAATTAGACATTGTTTCAGTGAAATTTTTTGATATCTCTCGAGTTTAAGCAAGATTTTTTTATAGTTTTAGCTGTCAGTAAAATAATGTATAAACGACAGATATACGTCATAGTGTTTTTTCATTTGATTTCCGAATGAATAGGCAAATATTAAAACAGTATTTGCAGAATGTTGCTTCCTGTTTTTTTTTATTTGAAGCATTTCTGTGCCAGTACACTAATAAACTTGAAGACTGTCATTTATTTCGTAGTCACCAGAGCTGCCAACATACATTTGGTTTTTTTTTATCGATCGCTGATTGGAAAAGTTCAGGTAGTACGAAAATATGTTTAATCACGGTATTCTCAGTACACATTATGGTCTATCACGCGGTCAAAAGTGTTTATATTGAAACAGAACTTTGAAATGATAGATTAAGCCGACTAGCTCTTCTTCTCTATTCGGTAACAGCAAGGGAAAAAACGAGAGTATAGGCGTCTCACTTTTTCTCCTTTGATTTTAAATCAAAAGTATAACATCTATATTTTTATACAGTTTTGGTTAAGCATTTTTCGCTGCATCGATTGATATTTAAAAGTAGCTTTTTTGATGAACTTCGATTTGCAAAAGAAGGGTGCTGGTGTGGGTATGGGCCACACCTACACCCGCTTTCTCCGTAGTTGAGCATCGAATCAAGTAGTCAATATTTTACTGTTAATGTTCGAAAAATCGAATTGTTGTTCAGTGAATTCTCGACTTGTCAAATGCAATATTTTGCTCTATCCTAAAAAGCCACTGCCTTCGACTGCATGTTCTTCTCAACAGTTGCTCAGTTTATTAGTCTGATACGATCAAATTCTTTTCACAAAACTGTAGATCTCAAGAAATTGAACACATCATTCACAGGACGACGTTTTTCAAAAAAATTGGCAAGAGAAAAACTGACTGGAACAGCCTTTTACATCTGTGACAAATAATTTCTTACATCTTTTAGGCTTTAAATCCAAGTCCTCACCTGCGTTACTTAATAAAAACATCTAGTTATCGTGGTAATTTTCACACAAAAGGTGATAAGTCATTTTAAAGTTGAAAAATACCTTTGTAAAGTAGTACAAAGACATCGACAAAGCTCGTCTGTTGGTTGAAGCTTGCTGAGTATTCTCTTCGATAAACATTGGGTTTGGGAAAGATAAAGAATTTTGAAAATCTGTAGTCCAGTTAACTTTACCATTGCCCGTGGCTGTCCAAGTCTCAAGATAGATTGACTTGGAAATTGCCCAATATTCAAAAATTCCTGGCTACGCTATTGGTGATTTGTTTTTGTACTTTTTCTTCGAAAGAATTTTGAGCTTAGCGAAAGAGTTCTACACTAAGTGTCTTTATTAGTTATTTTCGTAATAGCTATACAGTATATTCATTGTATTGTATTTTATATGGTGAAATATCTTTGAAGATAAAGCATGAGTCAATGAGCAGAAATCTAATAGAGCCTTTCGTGCCTGCATATTAACATAATAGCCAGTAGTTTGCAAAAAATCGTCTTTTCTTATTGAATTCTGATTTTTAAGTTTTTGAATTGGCAACTCTGGTTGTGAACAGTTGAATTATAACCATAAAGATTCAAACTACGTTCAGCGAACCATCCAATAGTGAAACCAATCGCAAAATGTTAAACGTTGAGAAGGGTCGCAAGAAAACTTCAATCTCATCAATCACTTCAATGGATTTGTTTTGATGGTTACTTTTTAGGAACAAATTATATTAAATGTATTATTTAAATTTATTTAATTACATATACGTCAATCTATTATTTGTTTACTGTTGATGATTCACTAAAGGTATAGATAAGATGGTGGAAGACAAAGTATTGGTTACAATTTCTATCATCCATACCTCTCCTAACTGTTATCTTTAAACAGAAAGGGATTTTTTTTTCGAATTCAACATTACTTTGAATTGCTCGATTCATCGTTGAATACACATTTCATGTATACTCTATATGACTACCAGAATGTTGACTTGAGCAATATGCACTGAATTCTCATTTTATTGGGTTTTGAGAAATTAATACCTTTGAGTGGGAAACAATCGTCGATGAAGTTACTTCGATGCTATACACACAGAAAAGACGTCGTCAATATTTTCTTTCAGTTGACAAGCAAAGAAAAAAATTTGATCTTGCACAAGCAAAAGAACAACGATCAACCTTCCTACGGCATACAATCTATACACAACAGTCATTCAGCGAAAAATAAGAATAAGTTATATTACTGTAGTTTGATTGGCGGATAATAAGACAGTAAGTCAAGCTTTTTTTTTCCTATTCTTACAAGTGTTGCATTGGACTTTTCCAACAAGCATTGAGAAAATGTGATTATAAAATGCTTCTGGATGGCATTGCTCTCTGCACTGCAGACATTCATTATCATGGGTCCTCATTATGCTCACACCTTCTTTTACCAATATCTGGCTGCACCATATAGTCATGCAACGCGAGTTAATCTGAAAAATCAACCGATCATCATCGATGCCAATTCATTTATGTATTTTATCTATGACCAAATGTTAAAGGATGAGAAGTCCCAAGATAGAAATCAACTTTTGACTAATATCCCCTTTAATTACGATGGTTACTGGAATTTCATATATAAAGTGTTAACTAAATTCAATCAAGAATGCTCGGATGTTCTTGTCGTCTTCGATGGAGTTTTCAAGCACAACGCCAATCGAAGACCTGATCCCGACCGTACTAGTAGTTTACGTTTCATCGAGTTCAAGGCGAGTCAAAATCAACTTCCATCACTCTTTCGATGCGAATTCATCGATATTTTGCGTGAGTTAGATATCGGTGTTAATGTGGCTCGAGGAGAAGCTGATCCAATGATAGTTCGATTGGCTCAAGATCGAAATGCTTATGTTGTCGCCGCGGATTCAGACTATCATCTCTATGATCTTCCACAAGGCTATGTTCCATTGAAATTTCTCAATTTGAGAGCACTCAAAGGACCACTCTATCAAATGAACGACGTTTTCGCAGGAATGGATATAAGAGGTGTTGCTTTATGGGCATCACTCATTAAATATAACTTTGTCGCTTTGACAAATTTACAAGTAAGAACAGTTTTGCATGTCTATTAGAATAAATATTTATTAAATTATTTTATTACAGGAGTTTCTTTCGACAACGCAAGCATATGATCGAAAAGAGTTTGAATCATGGCTTGATAGTACAGAACCCGATGAGCAGAAACGTCATTTGATAACAACTGAATGGTTACTTCTCCGTTTCATTCAACAAGTTGGTAGTGCAACAGCATATAATCAATTGATTCAACTCGTCGCTTCAGATGATCGACAAAAATTCAATCAAATTAGATCTAGCTATGCCAATGTCATGCCATTAACCTCAATCAAAACAAAAAATGGAAAATGCCTCCCTGGCTACCTTAATAGACTTTTCACCACTGGAAACCTTGATCATACGATTCTTAACATTCTCATCAGTAGAAATGTTCTCAAGAGTGAACAAGTGAACAATCCAATATATTATCAATTGCTTCTGCCTATTATTCAGATTCATCTGCGCTCGGATTGTACGAGTCCGGATATGGACAACGATAGTCAAAAGGTCACATACAATGATCGATCATATGAACCTTTGGCAGAGATCAAGATACAAGACCTTCCTTCTCTAAACGAAACTTCCAAGATGTCTTCAGCTGATCGAAAGAAGTGGCTTTTATATTGTGTGAAATCTGTTCTTCAACCATCAGTACATATGAATGAAGATGGAATTCACGATAATCATCTGCCAGAAAGCTAACAGCAATTATTCATTGAGACTTAAAATCGAATCAGAAATGAACTTCTAATAAGAAAATTTTGTTAAATTTTTTTCTTCCTATTTTCATTTTTGAAATAACGAGGAATATTTTCTCGAAGGATATTTTTACCTGATTCATCATGCTCATGAAGCAGTGTGTGTGTGAGATATGAAATAATCATGGCATAAAGTGCAGATTTCTTCAATAATGTTTGTTCTTTCCCTTTATGCCACCACAATCTCAGCAATAATATCCAAGCCAGATGATTATCGTGAATTCCACCTCCATTCATATGCACTCACGCTC